TTTTTTTTTTTTTTTTTTTTTTTTTTTTTTTTACAGAGGGTACACAACCATTTGAGACTGCTGTCAATTTTTATATATGTTAAAACACTCACCACTGTCTTCTGAAAACATTCTTTTCATTCTCACAAATGCAACTTCCTTACCTATGATGCTGATTATTTATACTGAGAGAATATCAGAGTGCATTTATATCTCAGTTCCTATGCTGTCTGGTAAGTCTGCCTACTGGGCATACCAGATGGATTGCTAGAAGCACAATTCAGGGTTTGCCCCTCAGTCCAGGCTCTTTCCATAACTCCTTAGGTCATACCCAGATAACCTTCAACAGGGACTGTAAAGGGGCATTACAAAGCCTGGCCAATAGCCAACACATGTCCTACATCTCAATGCACCTACACTCACTCATCCTGAAATAGACTCATTGTGTAGTACTGGCACATAATGTTTCCATCCCAAGTGGACCAAACATGGTGGGAGTGATGGGCACCTGCAACAGTCTTTGATTCTTACAAAGTGGTACAAATGGTGATCACCTCTCAGAAGGTCTTAAAGTTTTATTGTGCCCTACTCAGAACATGACCAAGCCAATCCAGAACTGCTTTGCACTGTATGCATATCCTTTCTGGGTATGGGGTGTGTTGCAGTTTGCCCTTTGGTCTCCATTCATGCTCCTTTGGTAGTTATTTGTGTTCTGTAATATGTATTTATAGGATAAGGAATCTTTTGAAAGGTCACCGGCTAGCAATACCACAATTATAAAGTGTTCCTTTAACAACACAACAGTGCAAGGGCCTGTAAAGAGCTTGAAAGCAATAAAGAGCCAAAGATGGGAATAAAATAGAGACAATACATATTTAATTCATACCTCAAGGTACAAATGTGCAGTAAAACATTATGTAGTTCTGAAGCACACAATACAGGCTGCTGACAAGCATCTCTTTTGTTTCACTTCTGCACTGAAATATCATGGATAGTTACCATGATATTTGTGATGCGTGTCTATGTGCCATTCATGAAAACAGTGACTACTGAACAAACCTTTTGGCTGTCTCCAGAGACTGTTGTTCTGCCAACTCCTTCTGCAGTTCTCTTTCCTTAGCCTCTGTCTGCCCAATAGGACAGTCTTCAGGCACACTGAACAGTGACAAGGCATCTTTGCTGTCTTCTTCTCGGAGAACTTTAGCAAACACCTTCTCTGCCAGAAGCCGCACCTGCTCATCAACTTCAGAAATGTTCAGCTTTGGAAATTGTCGAGGCATCTCGGCTAAAAAATAAATCAAAGAATTATAACTAAAAGTTGCAAAAAACACTAACTTTTCACAGCACTTGTACTGAAATTAAGGTCAATGTAGAGTGACCAGGGTTTGTACGCAAGAAAAAAGGGAAGTCATTGGACAGCTTTGTCTGGCAGCTCAGAACTAACTTGTGAATTATAAATGTGGTGAATTCCCTCTATTTGCATGACTTTGTTACTTTCCAAAGGAAGTATGTTTTCCAAGGTTTAAGTTCAACTAGAAACAAAAATGATAGCTCTATGTGAAACGGAATGACATACACATGGCAGAAGTTAAGACAAAGATTTCTACTGTTAAGTAATTCTGTCCTGAAAACTCGTCAAGTGTAAAATATCATCTTCTATTTATCTTCTGGATTATTCTTAGAAGAATACAGAGAAGGCAAGTATCATGATGAATAAAGATATTTATTTATATTTTCCCATGTGATTCAGGTACACTATGTGGCATATTACTGAGCATTCTCAAATTTATGTACCTGTAAACTTATTGAAACTGGGCACTAGAAATGAGACAGTTTTTTTAGCAGTGTCATGCATACTCAGCAGAGTAAGTTATACGTATTCATTCTGAACAGGAAGTTAACAGATTACAGAGTTGTACTAGTGCAGACTTGCTTTTTATTCACCTCCTTGTCTGTAAACAAATTCTGAAGCATAGACAAGTTGAAAAATGGTTTCAGTGCCTCTCTTGTTAATCCCTTGTTTACCATAGATAAAGTAGTAATAGAGATGCTGTTCAGTGGAAGTAGCTATGTGGTAGGAGTTAAACTGCTATTCATCTCAGTGAAGGTTTTTAATTTTTTTAATGGCTCGTATCCTGCAATTATGCTACACATCAGAAGGAGGCAGGGTATGGACTGTAGGTTTTTTTAAATTATTGCTTTTAAGGTTATGCTTACAACTTAACATCCCTATTTAAGTGGTCTTCAATTATTATAACATTTTGATTTTATTAAGGCTGCACTACAGTAGACAGTATCTTTATTCTGCAACTCCATAAATTCACTGGCTTATGTATAACTCATTCAAATATATTAGCCCTAATCGGGAATTTGACAAACAGGGTAGTAATTCAAAGGGAAAAAACAACTGTATGCAAACTATTGCCCAACAGCAATTAACATATTTCCCTATAAAGTATTTTTAAATGCCTTGATAGGTGCTGTGACAAACCAGATTCCATTCTGATTACATATGTTAAAAATAGAGCTGAGCAGGAACTAAAAAAATTGATTCAAGTGCTGCCAAACTTTAGGAAAGTTCAGATCTGAACCCTACATTTTAGAATTCTTTCTGATTTAAAAAATATTATCTAAATCTATATTTGGTTACTGTTTGTTATATACTTAAATCTAGCATGGATCTACCCACAATCCATGATTTCTCAGCCCTCGCATTACAATATTTCTGAAAGCATGATGCAGGCATTCAGATATTTATATGTAATCCATCTGATATGTGATCTTGTTGTTCTCAGTCTAAAAGGTTTTTCCAATAAAACATCCACCTGTTTTCAGAGTTGTTTTGAAAATAATTTTTGCTTTTAGTCTCATTCTTTAAAAAAATGACATACTTAGAATATATTACAATAATAAGGTATAACTTATAAATGATTTACAGGATATTGTTATTCTTCTTTTGAGTTACAGTCACTAGAGAGACTGCTACATCAAGTGGACTGCGGATCTGATCCTTTGTCAATGCTCTTTTCCTCATGTCTAGCAGCACTGTATGATAACCAAATATTAAACCTTCACAAAATCAGGTATAATCAGTAACAACTTTTATAACAGGTAGCCTAGTATTTAAATGACAGTACAACATACTGTCTTAAAAGCATCTGAACTCAGTTCAGCTTCTTGTTTTCAAACCTCAGTGAAGCCATGGGAGTCTTTCAACTGACCTCAGTAGACATAGTTGTCAGCAACAGTTACTGACACATATATGTGCCAGCAATAAGGTCTTCCTAAGCAGCCTCAGCTGGTGTTCAAAACAGGTTTTACAGCTAGTAAATCAGCTCCATTAAGGGTGCGAGCAATCCCAGCAGAAAATGATTCTGTCTCTTATATAAATCACTAGCTGAAGACGACAAGGGAGGACCTAGAGCTGAATAATAATTGTCTGATCACTCTCCCAATGAATCATGGTCTTTGTTGCAAAACTGTGTTAAAGTGAAATTCAGTAGGAAATATTTTCCGGAATAAACTACTTTATGGTACTTTGTTACTCAGCATGTATCAGGTATACAAGTGTGAGAGGGAAGGATATATTAAGGGTGATACCTTTTACTGCACCAGTTATGTGGTTGGGATAAAATTAGACAAGCTTTCAAATGCAAGCCATTCTTCCTTGGGTCAGGTGAGGAAGACTGACCTGAGGAAGCATGTCATACATTCAAAAACGTTATCCAACTTTATCCCAACTACACAGTTGGTCTAAGAACAGATCTTACCCTACAAAATAATTTCTGGACCACCATGGCTGCTCTGTCACTCTTATGCTTTGGGTATCTGAAGTGATTTCAAGTCACTAAATCATAGCAACAATGATGTAATGAAATGTCAGAAGTTACACATATGGCCAGCTAATATTGTATGCTGATGCTAAAGGGCATCTCTCAAGACCTGCTCCTGCATTTCCCACTCAGGCGAACAGGAGATTCACATGGGGGACGTTGCCAAGTCAGGGTCATCTTCTTCGTGGCAAAAGTTCAGTTTACATCACTGAGGAAGATGGAGTCAACATAAAGATATCCAAGGCACACTTCATACAGTATTCATGCAAATACCAGTACCAGTCTCCTCAGGCAGGGCAGGTGACATGTTCAGGTCTCCGCATTCACAGGAGATTTATAAAAATGTTTGCAAGAGAGGCTGTTTCCCAAACCTCTAGCCACTGGGGCAGCACTTCTCAGCCCTTTTTTTTTTTTCCTGTTTTTTTGTTTTTGTGCCAGGTACGCTAGAGACACCCCAGCGCTGAGAGGGTGGGGGGAAAGGCCAGCTCTTGGCTTACACCCATTTCCTGAGTGCAGGCGCAATTCTTCTGTGGCAAAGGACTCGGGCAGGGCGGGAGCCTGTTCGCCAGCCGCCTGCGCTGCGCGGCCCCCCTGAAAGGCTCTCGAGAGCCTGGCTGGGAAGCGGGGGGGGGGGGTGCCGGGGCTGTGGCTCTCAGTCGGCAGTCAGAGGAGCAGGGGCACCGGGCAAGAGAGGCTTGAGGGGCCGCCTGCGAGCCGGGACTTACCGAGAGCCATGCTGGGCGGGCAGGGCAGGAGGCTGAGGAGCGGCAGGGGGGAGAGGCTGCCGCATGCAAGCAGCCCGCGTTGCCGCAGTGCCGCCCTTTATGGCCGGCAGCATCCCGACCCCTCCTGCCCGCCCGGCGGCCCCGCGGGCAGCCTGCCAGCCCCTGCACGGGGGGCCGCCCTTGCGCTTGCCCTTGCCCTTGACCCCCCGCCCCCCCAGTGCTGAGCGGGGGCAGCTACCGCGCCTACCTGGGCAGCTCAGCTGGCGGGGACTCAGCGCCAATGACTTGAATGGAGCCGGGCCCGGCCGCTCCTCCCCGGATGCCGGCAGCTCCCGCCCCGCTGCAAGCCGCCTGCGAGCCAAGGAGAGCCCTGGCGG